GCTACACACGGTAGCCCATGGCAACCCACTGCCACAGGAGCTGCAGCCTACGCCATCGCCGGCGACTCACGGCAGTCCAGCTCCAGGTTGAGCTGTTGTTCAGCATCTTAGCTGTGGAAGGCAGTGTCACTGGCCCTCATATTTGGGATCCGAACCAGGGCCCTCTGGCGTCCCAAGCCAGTTCTTAACCATCGCGCCACTCGGCCGGCCCAGAGCTCACACTCTTGAGTGAGCTCTTAACCAGCTAAGCCACTTGGCCAGCCCTAACTCTTCTTAATAGATACTGGTTTCTAGACCTTTCATCCTCCTAGTTCTCATTGTATAGACTCTGGGTTTGGGTCTTAAAGTTTAATACATTTTTTGTCTGTTGGATTTGTTTCTTAATTCATTTTACATTTTTCTATTAAATATTTAGCATAAATAATCCAATAGTGCTATAACACTTTGAAAAACAGTGGTCTCCTTTCCTCCTACTCATTTATTTCTGCTTCCCTCAGGCTCTTCAAGTCTAGAAGTTTGTGTCCTTCTATTCTGGAAATTTTTCTGGTATTTCTTTTTATTTTCTTTTTGTTTTCTCTTTTTTCTTTCACTCTTCCTGGAACTTTTGTTATTTGTAAATTAAGCTTCCATTAATTTTCTTTCTGTTTTCCATCTCTTGCGTCTCTGCTTTCTAGGAGATTTCCTTCATTTTATCTTTAACTCTTCTATGGAATTTTTCACTTATATCAAATCAATTTCCAAGGGCTCTTTTTGTTCTCTGAATATTTCTGTAACACATTCTATCCTTTTTTGATGGACACTGTAGTTATGTAGTGTGTGTGCATGCTCACATACCTGTGTAGAGGTCTCTGTGTTTCTGTTTGCTCCAAATTTTTTGTTGTTGATTAACTGCCTTGCAATATTAACTGATTTAATCTTCACAGTGGCCCTTTAAGGTAGTCCCCATTTTACAAATGAGGAACCTGAGATACAGGAGAGTAAAGTAATGGCACATGGTCACAGAGTTAGACAGCAGCAGAGCTAGGATTCGAACCCAGCAGTCTCGAGGCTCTTGAGTTTACACTGGTAGCTTCTGCACTATAAGGTTTCTGCATCATTAAGTTTCACTGGCAAAATGATCGGCTAGGACAGGGGCAAGAACAGAATCCTACAGAATGTCGTTAGTGGCCTCCCTCTCAGCTGACACCAGTCCATTTGTCAGTGCTTCTTTTTCATCTAATTATAAATCTATTTTCAGACCATGTTTCTCTCCCTTGTCCACGGGTAAGCAAAAGTCTTGGTCATATGACTTCAGAAGTTCAAGGTCTGAAGTGAATGGATGGGACATTGGCTCTAGAGTGATGCAGATCTGAGGTACAAATCTGTCTCCTCCTCCTTCTGGCTGTGTGGCTATGGCGGATTAGTTGAGCTTTCCTGGACCTCGGTTTCCTCTATAAAACAGGGAGAGTAATATGACCTTGCTGGGTAGTTGTCAAGATTCCAGGTACAGTTCATTGTAGGCCTTCAATAAGTGGTAGCTATTGTTATCTCCCAGTTTAGTAATCCTTTCAAAGAAGGAAGTACATTGAGATGGCTGGTTTATTTTTATGAACTCTTGCTAACTCTATAATTGTTTCCTCTCCTCAGAGCTTACAAAGCAGCCATTTGATAACATGTTCTAGAATTTTGCGTTGAATTAACATCAAGACCACCAGCCTGGAGCTTTTGGCAATCGCTTCACAATGTTTTTGAAAATTCTAACATCGTTTGCCTGTCTTCATTCTTCCATCAACTCTACTATTTACTAGATGTCTCAAGTATCATTGAAATCTTGTTTCTGGGTTTCCTTTGTAATTCTGAGGTGTAATCTATCTGGAAAGGAGACTTGAGCTCCTTACCAATGGCTGTACCTCTCTCTGAGCCTGTCTTGGCTTTAATTCCTTCCAATTTATTCTCCTCTTTCTATGCCCATTCCTCTTGCAGAGAAAACAGAAAAAAAACTAGGAATTCAGCAGTACTGCTTTTACCATCTCATACCTCATGTCCCTATTTACATCAGTCTCTAGCAAAAGTCCACATTTCCCAGTTCATTCTCTCACAGATGCTTGTTCCCACGTTGCTCCATACACCCCCTGATCTCTTCTTTCTTCCTCTCCTTCCTGCCCGTTAGACCTTTCACCTGACTGCTTGGTCAGCAATTTCCCAGTACCCTCATTCTCTTCTCTGACATTTTCTTCCCCTTATTTTTCTGATTGTCTCCAGAGAATACCGTTTCCTCTGCAGCTCACCTACACTGCTTATTTCTCCCACATACCTTAGGCCCTACAGCTGGAGTAGGCATCTTCCTTGCTTCCCTAACCCATTTTTTTTTCTTTCCTTTATCTAAAGCCTTGCCTCCTTTGACATTCTATTTCTTAGTTACATGGCTTAAACAACAACAGCAGCAAAATGTGGGGTGGTCTGGCTGGATTCAGACACTCAAATATTGTTATCAGGAATTTCTCCCTCTCATACCTACCTTCTCGCTCTCCTCTCTTCCACTTTCTCCATTTCAATCCTCCATTTTTTTTCCATCTCTGTTTTCTGCTTTCCCTTGTATGAGTCTTATTTCCAAGTTGTGTTTCCCTTTGTGGTGGCAGAGAAGGCCACCAGCAGCCTATCTAGCTTATTGAAAAGAGAGGTCTACTTTTCCACCAGCTGAAAAACTCCTAGACCTGATTCTCATTGAGCTGCCTTACGTCAGTGCCCATGAGGCAGTGGGGCAGGGGTGGTCTCCCGAAAGAAAGTCTGAGTGCTATGCTGTTACCACTGAAAGGAATTCTGGATGACAGGCAGCCCAGAACAACACTGGCAGGGGAGGAGGAGGTCTTGCCTGCGCAGCCCTTTACGATATGCTTTGTGTGGGCTTGGTGTGTGAGATTTACACCTAAAGTCAGTATAAAAATCATAGTAAATTGATAAAACTTTTCTATCTTCCAACAACCTTGGTTACCCTGAGAGAAATATTCAGAATTAACATGAAATTAAATGATAACATAGTTACAAGCTCTCATGATATAAAATAGAGACAATCTGATTTCAAATTATTTCACAAGGAAATAATAAGGATAGTATATGGTTGTTTATAATGTTTTTGAACTACTTGCGATTTAGCATGCATGACTTTGAAAATCTTAAGTCTTTTGTTTTTAAGGAAAAATATTAACACGGTTACTTTACAGCCAGACAGATAAGTTTACAGCAGCAGCTTATTCGCGTGATGGAGCACATCTGTAACTTAGTTGATACTATTCCTGATGATGAACTGAAAGCTCTGGATTGTGGGAATGACCTGCTTCAGCAGCGGGACATAAGGTATCTTGATTTTTCTCCTTCTGGAATGTACTTGACTGCATTTCCACCACTCTCGGTCTGACACATACAGGGTAAAATGTCCAGGCATTCTGAAAAGGACAAATTATCACTATGTTTTTAATTTATTTACTTTTTCAAACTGTTCCTTTAACATTTGTGTTCAAATTTTTGAGATTGGGAAAAAGAGGATATATTTTGCCACAACTGGGGATGAAAACTAAAGACATACTTGTGTGGCCTACCATAGTAGACCACTTACACTTAATATGGTGCTGTGTGTTCTCTCTTCAGAAAGAAGCTCCTAGCTGAAGCAGATTTTAACCCACGTGGTGCTGGTGTTCTTGGCTCTGTGTGGAGGTGCAGGCCTGATGCTCTTGGTAGCCCTGCTACCAAGGATATGGTATCTGTTTCCCCGCCTTATACATTTCCGAAGGGTGATTCCCTCCCTCCAGGGAATTCTGATACTGAGTTAGATTTCCCACACAGTCCCTCAGAATCCATTTCTACTGGGGAATGTTTAGTGACTACTACCCTAGGAAAGACAGGATTCTCAGCCACCAAGAAGAATCTCTGTGAAGGACCACCATTCAATTCCCAGAAGTCCTTTGTAAGTAGCAACTGGGCTGAAACACCAAGGATAAAAGAAAGAAGAGAGAGCTCTTACTTCCCAGAAAACGTTCTCACAAGCACTGCTGTGAAAGATCAGAATAAACAAAGTGCTGCAATAGATGACTTAGAAAGAGAAATCCAGGCTTCCTATGATATTGATAATTTTGACATAGATGACTTTGATGATGATGATGAGTGGGAAAGTATAATGAATAATTTAGAAGCCAGCAAAGCTTCCACAGCTGCCTATCCACCTATTAAGGAAGGTTGGCCACTTAAATCAGTATCAGAAAGGACTTCTACAGCCAAGGCAAACCTTTCATTGGCATCTACTGTTCAAAATAAAAACTCCTCAGAGTCAATTCAGAATTACACTGGTAAGTTTCAAATAAATTGAATGCTTATATTGTATATGAAAACAAAACTGTCCAAAATCGGAATGTCTAAGAAAAACTGTAGGAAGTCATCATTGCCTGAAAACTACATTGTTTCTATGCAAATGTCTACTGATAATATGAATTACAAATCACAATTTCAAAAGCAAGTTGCTCTTTTGTCTCTGTAGCAGCTGTAGTTTTATAAAATGTATAATTATAACCTATTGTAGTAAAGCCCTAAAGTCATTACAAATGTGCTTTGCTTTTAAATTAACATTTTTTAGTTCCTAAAACAATAAAGCCCATGAAGGCCAAGTTTTTAATGATTTTAGGGATGGGCAAAAGCAAAGCTGAATTTATATGTTAAAAATGTAAGTGTATCTATTTTTAGAATTCTGGATTGATGAGAACTGATCAATTTATAAAGTAGAGAAATGTGTTTTATGTCTTAAAATACTAAAACGTAGGTCAATCTAAGAAAGATACAAAGTCAAATTTCTTAAACCAATCATTATTTCTTTTGGCCTAGAATCCTTTTAATTCATTCAACACACATTTATCGAGTGCCTACTGTGTGCCATGTTCTGTGCTAGGTTCTGGTAATAGATAAATAATGAATAGTCCCTGCCCTCTTGGAGCTCACAGTTTAGTGAGGGAACTTTTTGGAGGAGTGAAATTCGCTACTGTAAATGCTGCAGAGAAAAGCCAAAATTGATTTTTAAACTTTATAAAGTTTTATTACAAATGTTTGTTTTTTTTTCAACTGAAACAAGTTTAGATGTGCAGACTTTTATAAAGTACAGCCCTCCCTGTTTTTGCTATTGATGACTTAATACCAGGGAGGTTGTTCTTACAGTTATGCTGTTGACCTTTAAAATAACCATTAATGGATTTATTTTTGTATCATGTTAGAGTGTGTCATACTTGATGTTCGCAATTATCTTTGAGACAGTTGAGCGTTGGGATTGCAGGAACTGCCAAAGCTGGCGTGAGCTCCTCTTGTTCTCTGTGCTGAGCCAGAAGGGGAGCAGGGGCGGACATGAGAGACATGGTGGAAGGAGAATCAGGAAGCTAAGATGACTCTGAGGTTTCTGACCTAGTGACTGGGAAACTGACACCATTAACAGAAATAGGGGAATCAGGAGACAGGCACATGTGGAGAAAAGCTGAGGTGGACTCTTTTAAAACTTCCTGAGCTTACAGTGTTGGTAAGTCATTCAGGTAGAAATGTCCTGCAGATGATTGGAGATACATATAGGACTGGAACTTAGAAGGGGATCAGTCAGGTCTAAAGAAAGAGATCTAGGAGTTCTGTGCACATAGATCATGCTTAAGATCACAGGACTAGGAAAATTCCCAAAAACAACGTCTAGAGAGCCCAGCCCCAAGTGCCTGAAAGACTCCCAGATTTAAGATGCAGGTGGAGGAAGTGGAGCCAAGAAAAGGAATTTAAACGGAATAGAAAATTCACAATTGTCTTGCAGGTCAAGAGAGAAGAGAAAGGAGGTAATGCAGAGTAGGGTGGTGCTGCAGAAAATCAAGGCGAGACTTGAATTTGGGCCTCAGGAAGTCTCTGGTGGTCTTGACACTTGTACAGGAGGAAATCAGCACATGGTTAAAGAAGGAATTTGCTGCAGGGAAATGTATGCCAATGACTGTGCAGGGCAAAGGGTGAATGCTGAAACTGACTTGTGACATTGATGCACTGATTTTTCTTAACATTGATTATTTTCTTAGACCAGTTGGCGCCAAATTTAGCATCCAGAAATCTGAAACACGAGCGTTTCCAGAGTCTTAGTTTTCCTCATACAAAAGAAATGATGAAGATTTTTCATAAAAAATTTGGCCTGCATAATTTTAGAACTAATCAGCTAGAGGCGATCAATGCTGCACTGCTTGGTGAAGACTGTTTTATCTTAATGCCCACTGGTATGTATTTTTAGATGTGAATTGGCAGGAATCCATTGGCAGATGTGAAATGAAAGCCCTTTAATGGAAATAAAAAGAACACCGACACAGTATTTCTATCATTTAGGGGCCTCTAACCCTCCTGCGCCGTAGTAAAAAAGTATTACCTCACACCCTCTGTTCTAGTTGTTGACATGCTAACATAGCCCTTTAAGATTTTCAAATCAAAGCTCTTTATGCTGAACTGATCTAGAATTTCTCTTTGGGAATTTTTCTTTTTTCTAATCTAATTTAGTCTGGAACATGGACAAAAAATGTAGGACTGAAATAGAGACATGACCATTTCTGGCAGTTTATTTGGTACAGTCTAGTGTTGCATGGTGCTTAAAATCATCACGGCCTGGGCTAAAGCACAGCTCTGCCACTTATTATATTAGCGGCGTGACCTTGAGCAAGGTACTTCACCCCCTGAACCCCGTGTGTGTGTGCAGTGGGGATAATAATAAAGTTCCTGCTTCACCGAGTGTCATGAGAATTAAATGAAAAGCATTTAGCGTAGCTCTTCCTTGGCTTTTTGTGAAGAGATCCAGGACTTTTCATTGTGCTGTTAACGTTTATAACAGTTCAATGATTTATAGTCATCCAAGTCAGAATATTAAATAAGCAGTTAGGATAAGAAGGAGAGGGAATTTGGAGTTTCAGTACCTACATGTGTAGTCTTCTCTCTGACTTTCACTTGCCTCGTTGTGGCCTTAAGCAATTAGTTATTGCCATCATTGTTAAATAGTGTTGTCTGGGCATCTGCATTTTTTTAAACTGATTTTAAAATTTAGATAGAGTTGGTTTAATAATAATTTCATATTTCACTAATTTGTTCACTCTATAGCTTCTGTTTTGACTCCAAATTGGTACTCCAGAGCTAAAGCAGGAAAGGACCCTGGCTCATCCAGTGGTTTCAGGGCTTTCCATGGTCCTTTAGGGAAACCCTAAAGGGGGCATTTTTAAGGATCCTTCCACCCTACTTTCAACCTCTTGATTTATGTATATACAAGATTCCAAATAAGGTTTGTTTTGGCCCCAAAAAAATTGTAAGCCACTAATCTAGTACATTTTGCAGGTGATAAAATTGAGGCATGGTAAGGTTAAATGGCGTGTCTAAGTCACATAGCCTATTAAGTGAAAGAGCAGAAACTCAGCTTCCTGCTCTTGCCTTGACATTTACACATATATATCAAAGTGAAATTTACTTACTACACATGCAGAAAAGATGGAATGTGCTGTTTACTTAAAAACAAAATAGAAGTTACAGAGAGAGAAAGACAGAGCCCCCACCCCCTTTGGTCTCGAAATTTCTTTCATCTTCTGTTCGTACGCACAAATGTAGTTCTACCCCCACCCTTTTTTTTTTTTTAAAGATTTTATTGGGGAATTTGGGGAGGGAACAGCGTTGGGGAATCGGGGAAGGGGAACAGCCAAGTTGCTGTCCTTTTGTTCTTCAGTCTAGTTGTGGAGGACGTCGCTTCACTGGCCTATGTTAGTATTATCATTGCACTCTTCCTGGGTGAGGCAGATAGGTCGTTGGCCACTCAACGGTAGCTTACGGCAGCCCACTGCAGCCTACGCCATCACCGGTGACTCATGGCAGCCCAGCTCCAGGTCGAGCTGTTGTTCACCATCTTAGCTGTAGAGGATGCAGTGTCACTGGCCCATGTGGGATCCAAACCAGTGGCCCTGCTGCTCAGAGCTCGCGCTCCCGAGCCAACTCTTACCCAACGAGCCACTTGGCCAGCCCCAGTTCTACCCCTTTTTTATTTTAAAGAAAATTGGGAATATTACCTTATTGATAAGAGTACAGGGAATAAAAGCTCTGATATTCATACTAGTAGTTTAGGAAAACGGAGATCCTAAAAGTGCTCTGTGGATCATTAAAGAAATATTAACCTATATTTGCTATAAGTTGTAGTGTTGTATATTTTATCACATTTTAGCTCTTTAAAAATTAAATATTATATAAAATAATTATTTTAATCCTAGTATCATAACTAGAGTATTCCCCTTGTAATGCATTTGGATTTCCCAAGTAGACTTATAAGACAATTCTACTGCAGTTAAGTTTCCTGCCCTGACTCCCTGACTCTTGTTTTGGCTCTCGTGTACCTACATGAGATGTCCTAAAAGATAAATCTTAACACATTTAAATTGCCTAACTATTTTGACTCATTTGAATATGGCAAATTGTTGACACCATGGGCAATATCACTTGGTGTTCCATTAGTTACTTTAAATACTATGCGTAGTTTACTTGGTAACTTTTACCTTCATGCTCTCAAGGTAAAACTGACAGATTTTTTTGTTTGTCATTTCTCTTGTAGGAGGTGGTAAAAGTTTGTGTTACCAGCTCCCTGCCTGTATTTCTCCTGGGGTCACTATTGTCATTTCTCCATTGAGATCACTTATAATAGATCAAGTCCAAAAGCTGACTTCACTGGATGTAAGTTAAAACACAACACTACCAATTATAATAAAAATACTAATAAATACATAAAAATAATTATATTTTAATACTCTGGGTTACCTTTTTTATTTAATAGTTTATGGATTATAAGAATAAAGCACAGCAATTACATTTTTTACATTTAAGCACAAGTCTTTGAAAATTCTGTTAGATAACCTGTAGTTTATCTGATTTTATTCTAGAAGAATGTATTTCAGTAAGAATTTTTAACTTGTATTTTGCTGATGTAAATTTTTCTTTCACTAATGTGAAAGGATTTTTTTTTTTTACTACTGCCAGATCAGCATAGTTCTCACTCCCTTAATATCTTAACATGCATACACATGCACATGCCCACACACATATGTCCTTATTCCAACTGGCTGAGATTAAGAAAGTATATGAATGCATTCTACTAAATCCTGCATAATGTGAACAAACAACTGTTTTCAGGGTCGTGAACCCCCACCCCTCAACAAGGCTTTCACCCCACTGGTTTGATTTTTCTTCTAAAGAATGTGTTTGTGCTGTGATGGTAGCCACTGCTCAACCATTCATGTTTTTACAGGACTCTCGTTGTTGTTATGCATTAAAATCCTGAAGATACATTTACCTAAAGAAAAATAGGATTGTACATTAGGACTAGAAGCTCTTGGATGCTGAATTCATATTTATCTTATTTACAAATATGAAAAGCAAAGGAAGTAAAGAAAAAACAGAAAAGGAAGTAAACAATGAGAAGACTATCTTGAGTTCTAGCTAATAAAGGTTTTTTAAAAATATGTACTGATTGTTATTGTTATATTGAGATTATCTTTGACAGGTTTAATACGTGACTTGTAAAATATTTATAAAAGCTAAGGATAAATATAAGCTTACGTCACATTAATGTGTAAAATTTAAATTGTTTACTGCTTTTATACTTAGATCCCAGCTACATATCTGACAGGTGATAAGACTGACTCTGAAGCTGCAAGTATTTACCTCCAATTATCAAAAAAAGACCCAATTATAAAACTTCTATATGTTACTCCAGAGAAGGTTTGTATTTTATCATTATTTTAAAATATGATATTAAATCTGTGTTAGAAAACCAATCCAGTTCTCCCTCTTGAGTTGGGAAAAAGCCAGTTTTCCCCTCCTGTGTTTCTCTACTACTCACATAGAATGCTTCATTCTGGTCACCAAATGTGTGCAGGTTTTTTCTTTACACCAAGCAATTCTTGTGACACCAGCCGAGTGTCCTACAATTTAACTCAATTCTGATACTGCCTACCCAGAGATAGTGTCAGATCCCACAGGTTAAGGGATCAATCCCACAAGATTGTTCCCAGCCCACTTCAGATGCCAATCACAAGTAGTAGGCCCCCAGGTTACCCATAACTTCTATCCTATTTGGCTACAAATGAGAGGTTCACATGGTCCCCTTCTCAGGTTCAGTTAATTTGCTGGAGTGGCCCATAGAACTCAAGGAAACACTTATGATTTCCAGTTTATTAAAGGACATAATAAAGGGATACAGATGAGTGGCCAGATGAAGGATGAGGTCTGGGAGGGTCCTGAGCACAGGAGCTTCTGTCCCCATGGAGTTGGGGGGGTGTCACTCTCCCAGTGTGGATGTGTTTGCCAGTCTGGAAACTCTGAACCCCATACTTTTGGGATTTTATGGAGGCTTTCTCATGTACGCATGATCCTCTCTAGAGGTTGGGGAGTGGGGCTGAAATTTCCAGCTTCTGATCGTGGCTTAGTCTTTCTGGTGACCAGCCCCCATCCAGGAGCCCTACAGGAGCCCACCCAGAGTCACCTCACTAAACTAAAAGGTGCTCCTAGTTCTCTTATCACTTAGGAAATTACAAGGGGTTCAGGAACTAGGGGCAGGTGGAAACCAATATGTGTTTTTTTCTATCATCTCATAAAAGCCCACTAGAATACATATGTTTTTAAGCTTTGACATACTTTCTGATTTACAGTATAGTGTAAGAATTCTTTGACTTTCACCCAGAAACCCCAAATGGTTAGCATTTTACTGTAATTGCTTTATCATTCTCTCTCCATTTTTTTCTTAAGCATTTGAGAGTAAGTTACAGATATGATATATTTTTAACCCTAAATACTTCACTGTGCATTTACTAAAAACAGGAATTCTCTTGCATAACCTCAGTACAGTTATCAAAATCAGAAAATGTTCACGATACAATGCTATTACTTACTCTATAAACCTTATTCCAATTTCACTAGTTTTCCCAATAATGTTTTTTATAGCAAAAGAAAATCCTATATTATACATTGCATTTAGTTGTCCCTTTAAACAAGCTCTCTCTTTGTCTTGCATGATTTTGACAATTTTGAAGAGTGAAAGCCAGTTATTTTGAGGACTGTCCCTCAATTTGAGGTTAGCTTATATTTCCTTATGGTTAGACTCATGTTATTCATTTTGGCAGAAATATCAGAAATAATGATAAATTCTCAAGGCATACTATCAGGAGGCATTTGATGTCAATTCCTTCTGTTGCTAGTGATATTAGTTAACGTTGATCACTGGGTTAAGGTGGTGTCTGCTGGATTTTTCCACTGTAAAGTTATTTTTTTCTCTTTTTGTAATTTTTTGCCTTTGTAATAGTATATATCATGTTGTAGGATACTTTGAGACTGTGTAAATATCCTGTTACTCATCAGACTTTTACTTAAGAGTTTTATAATCCATGGGTGACTCTCCATCAGTTATTACTATAACAGATGCCAAATGATAGTTTTTCTAATTTAATTGGTATTCCACTATAAGGAAGAGCTTTCCCTTTAACCACATATTTATTTATATCGATATGAAATCATGGAATTTTAATTTATACAGTGGGCTATAATAGATTATTATTATGTATTTTGATGTTCTGATTGTCCTGGATTTGGCCAGTGAGAAACCTCCAGTGAGAAACCTCATGTGTCCTTTTGACATGTCCCTGTCAAGTTGTGGGTGCCAGATGTGGTCATTGATACTGGGATGTCATTGCTTCTAGGCCCTGTCATGGACAGAACTACGAAATATAAACACACATGCACACAATTATGTATGAATATACATGCATGTGTATATGTATGTATGTGTATGTATCCCTCCTACCCAGTCACATGCATACAAGTTACACATCTATAACCCTGTTCCCAATGTAAACGTGTGGTGACCCTCAGATATACTAAGGGCCAGAAAAAACGTTTTAGAACCCTTGATCTGACAAATAACTGTTTGCTGAATGTGGGTGAACATTCTAAAATGTCTTTGCTGTTTTCTATTCTGCTAATTCTCTTTATAGATGGGAAGAAGAACCAATTTTCTGTGAAGGTCTTAATGAAGCCTAAGTTGTAGTGGAACTTAAAAACAAGAGAATCCTGGAGGTGATGTGGTACTTAAAATGTTTTTGAATGTCTAATTAATTTATTTCTAGGTCTGTGCAAGTAAAAGACTGATTTCCACTCTGGAGAATCTGTATGAGAGGAAGCTCTTGGCACGGTTTGTTATTGATGAAGCACATTGTGTCAGTCAGGTAAATACGATTTTTATGTCTTGAAATATCGATACATATATACTGCCAAATACATATCCATATAGATAGATAGATAGATAGATAGATAGATAGATAGATAGATAGATAGATAGATAGATAGAAAAAATACATTGAATGAATTATTCTGCTATTTCACTGAAGAATAAGGTGGTTCTTAATACAGTGAGCACTGTTTGCTTTGTATACGAGGAAGATTCGAATAGTCTGAAAAGCGGTGGTTTTTTTTCCATCTAGTGGGGACATGATTTTCGTCAAGATTACAAAAGAATGAATATGCTTCGCCAGAAGTTTCCCTCTGTTCCAGTGATGGCTCTTACTGCCACAGCTAATCTCAGGGTACAGAAGGACATCCTCACTCAGCTGAAGATTCTCAGCCCTCAAGTGTAAGTTGTTGAAAGTCATAAATTTAAAACCCTGGGGCATTGGTTCTTGGATTACTGCACATTAATCACCTAGGAGCTTTAAAAATCTCAATGCCTAGGATGCACCCGATGCCAGTTAGGTCAGAATTTTGGGGCTGAGAGCTGGTATGTTTTAAAAAATCCTCAAGTGATTCCAGTGTGGGAACCAGGTTCCTGTGGCTCTTCGTCACTTACTGGAATGAAGACTCCCTCATACCTGTTTTGTAAGTGGGGATAAAGTGCATGCTGTCCTGTTATTTCCAGGATAGTCCCAGTAATAAATTAGCTTTTATTTATATAATTTTGATTTCCACACACCCTGGAGGATACATTATGAAGTGAACCAATGACCCTGCTTTGTCACTTTCCCCTGAAGTCCCAATTACATCCAGGATGTTGAAAACAGTCCAGAAACTATATATAACAGCCTTTTTACTTT